CACTTAAGAACAGGTAACCACAGGCTCCCTATAGAAACAGGCAGGTGGAGGCAGTCTTTTGTCCCACATGCTGAACGAAAGTGCCAACACTGTCAACTAAACGATTTGGGAGACGAGTTTCATTATATTCTCAAATGTCCTTTTTTCCTAGCTTCTAGGAAACGTTATATAAAACCGTACTATTTCAATAGGCCCAATATGCTTAAATTTTCACAACTTATGTCTTCTAAGTCTACCAAGGAACTTAAAAATATCGCCCTTTTCTCAAGAGAAATAATGACTTTATTTAAAAGATAGTCCAAATAAACATAATACAAGTGGTCCAATAAGTTAACCTTTCCCTTTCGTTTCGAGAAAGGTCGGCTGTAAATTGGACAAAATTCTCCGCATAATAGTTCCAAGTAAAATATTTTACTCTACTTCTACTAAACACGTGCGCAACAATAATTATATATTTGATAATAAATAGTATAACATCCTAAGCTCGAAATTCAAATTGCATTAATAAACATACCAGTTAGTTTAATAATCCTTTTTTGCAATATCCTTTTTGTTTTGTTTTCTTCCCGATGCACTTAACCTTGTTAAAAAAAAATAATCTGTCAATAACAATGAAATGTCACGAAAATTCATGGAAACCGTGCCTAACTATAGTAAATAAAAATTCCCACGGTATCTGTTTACATTTACTATAGGTTTGACTGCATTTTTGATGACCATCATTTGCCGTATTTGTTGTATTTTTATTTGTCACTATTGTTTTTTTTTGTTTTTGTTTTTTTTGTTTTGTTGTTATTTTTTTCACATTAGACAAAGAACATGAACATTGTTGTTAAATGTATTTATTATTCTGTCCCCGCAACATTATGCTCATTTACCTTAAATTGAAAACTAGCTAACTAATATATGATCTAACCCACATAATGTAATATTTTAGATAAATCGTCATGTTGTTACCATGTTTGTAACCTGATTTACCAATAAAGAGTATTGTATTGTATTGTATTGTATTGTATTGTATTGTATAACATGTATACATACAGCGACTGGTTTATTCTGCTTAAGCCGGTGCTAGGGGGCGTGGACGGTAACTTGCAATTTCCATTACCGTTCATGAACAGGCTCAATCAAACCGAGCCTGCAACATTTTATAATTTTGCCGTGTTGGGCTTTCTTTAGGGATTCTGTTTTTCACTATTTTAAACATGATATTTACACTCTATTTAAAACAATATATCACTGTAGGGAAATATCAACTCGTTGTAAGATACATATCTACATATAAACTTCATGATTATTCTGACAAAGGTCATATGCATATTATGCTGTGCAAAAATATAGAACATTTGAGTGCTTTCTTGATACTGATACAGAAATATAATATTAATATCATAATTGATTTTTCTTTCAGTTTTGTCTTCCTTACTGCGTCCAGTATCTAGTAAGTCGAGCTTCTCCAACATCATAACGAAAAAAAATCTCTTTTTGCCAAAATTTCATAATATTTTCGCGATGAGTTAGTTAAAAATAGGTGTGGTATATTTATATTCATGGAAAAAAGATTTCAATGTCACCAAAATGATGCAAAATAATGTATTCTCTGCCTTCTCAACATGCCTTAAATTCCCTAGAATGCTGCCATGGCAATATAGATTTTCAATTTTTTTCGGAGAGCTACGCCCCTGACATTTAACTAAAAATGCAAATATTAGAAATGCACTTACAATGACTAAATATAATGAAAAAAATCTAAAAATCTACAAAACAACATTTTTTTCTTCAAATTTATACGACAGGCCATGTTTAAACATGGAAAAACGCGATTTTTGGTAATTTTCATTTTCTGTTAACCCATTACGCGATATACACGCCTTTTAACGCCTTTTTCAACCCCCTTCCCCCATTTTTGTTGTCTAAAATTCTGAAAAAAATGCCTTATTTAGGCCCCAAACACTTGTTTTTGTTTTAAAAAAGTGACCACTTTATCGGCACGACCCCCAACCAAAAGATACATCAGGGGGTTGCCAGAAGGGGGGAGTCCCCCTCATCGCCAAGAAAATTTTGGAATTATGAGAGGCTAAAAATGACCCCAGATTGATCCTAAGGTAATGTGTAACCAATGCTGAAAAGCATTTGACGCTATGTCAATCCATTGAGAAGTTGCAGCACTTTGAAATCAATTTTGATGGAAAAAATCAACGTCAATGTCCCCTCGTTGCCATGGTAACAGAAAATTTAAGCCTGAGCATGTTGTTGCAAAGGCAATGGTCCAGTTAACATTTTTTGATAATTATTGAAGCAGTTTTTATAGTATTATAGCAATTGGAACTTGTAACGGGCGACTTTTCAATGAAAACAGCCATTTTGCACAAAATGCTCATGAAGTAATGGGTTAAGGGTGATATTGTCAGCCTTGTTTGTTTTCACTAAGTTGGTCCAAAATGAAAGTAGACCAACAATCATAACTGCATTTAACGGTGAACCATTTGCAATTACACTTCCGGGTATGATCTTCCGGGTCTATGTTTTCGGGACTATTATAAACAAAAATAAAAATGATGCCAATAAGAATATTTACCTTGAATGTGCTAAATTTCGGAAGACAAAGTAAAATTTGTTAAATAAAGTTATATACACGTTAAAATTTTCATGAATGGCAAAATGCAGTTTAAAGTCTGATTCAGTGTAGAGGAATGCTATTATTATATATAGGAGGGGCTCCAAAAACGATACATTGATCGGAAGTAACGGATGCTAGTAATTTCAAGACATTTTATAGCCTTGCAATCCACTATGCCAGTGGCGTACCTACCGATACGCCAATACGCACAGGCGTATAAAAAGAAGAGAGTTTCGAAAAAATGAAATATCAAAAATGAAATTAATAATTTGGGCGTACATTGATCAACATATTCATAGCTGCCAATTGATTCTATAGTTATGCTTAGGATGTTCTCTTATTCGAATATGCGTTAACAATCAAGAAATCAATTATAAGAAAAGGGAGTAAGCACATATGAGCAAACTAAAATAAAACAATTGCTTGGGTATATCAACGGGAAGCCATGTTAGAGAGAATTATTCTATTGTTGTGTCAGTCTCGAGTCCGAGAAATCAGTGTTTTTAAGGCGGTATGGTTTGAATTATCTTTAAAATTTCAGTTTATACCACCCTATGCGAAAGATGAGACTTTTTAACTCAGAAAACAAAATATTAGGCCTTTCAACAAAAACTAGGAGTGACGTACAGAATGTAAAAATATGATATAAACAATTTCTTTGGAATTTTCTCTTTTTTTTTCAGATTGAGTTATAAGCTGTAAAGAATCAATGTTATAATGCTAATAAACCTTGCCAAAATCGAAATAATGATAAGAAATTGTCCAATATATTACAATAATTTTTTCACAAGAATAAAAATTAGTGAAAACTAGACATAATTTATTTCATTTTTTACATCTAGATCTATATGAAAATTAAGATATTGTTTGCAACTTGGAGTTTGCAGCCAAATGGAAGGGAGTTGGCTGTATGGAATTTACCTTGTAGCTATAAGTCAGTATATTATTTGTTAATTTAGTAACATTCGTTCATCTTATATTCATTTCAAATTGCGTAGAATAGTTTAGGCCCTATGAATCACATCTTTGCCAGCATCTATCGTTACAAACCGGACTCAACCTCTGTTTGAAATATGACCGTAAAAATGAATACATGTATTTACAATATATATCACTACAGAAAGATGTTTCTACTGTATTATTTTATTGTGTATAGAAATAAAAATACTTCTGCAAACAATGACATATATATATTCTTTATTATACGTAGTCTCATCTATACATATTTGAAACATAGACAAAATTAATATACAACGAAAACAATGTATAGCCATATTAAACACGTCATGTACGTCCCAATTCTTTTATTTTCACCAACTTTAACGAGTTGGCGAACATCCTTTTATGTTCGTGATTTAACTTCCTGATGAAATATCTTAAATATTTCGAATGGAAACTGAAAGAGTAGAGTTGAGAATAAAAACTGTTAAAGACAATATTTATTTCTTCAACATTGACATAATACGCATTTAAAAATATGTTTAGGGACCTAAATGATCGTGCGATACTACATCTTAGGTAATAAATAAAATAACATTTCGTTACACTAAATAACTAAAGCCGTTGTGTTTGTATTAAAGCCATACAGATCATTTTAAAGCAATTTTTTCCTTGATTGTATCTCATTTAAAATTATGATGAAACAAAAGAATCATAACAAAGAAAAAACTTGTGAAACATTTTTTATTACAATAGAGAAACACCTGGCTATGTGTTGTTTTTCTAATAGTAAATAACTTTTGAACTTTTTAAAACATTGTCAATGTTAGACTTCGTGTAATTTCCCTTCCATTCAATACATGTACTTGATGTTATTTTCATTACTAAAGATAAAGACAATAGAAGTACAATTAGCTTAGATGTCCCCGAAATCCCTTATTTTAGCACATCTAGCTATGTTTTATGTATATCTCTGGCGACCCTTCGGCCAAAGACCTGCACTCGGCGTACACTCAAAATAAGCAGAGGTACGCCCCTGTATGCCATAGTTACAACTAATACTCAACATTGTTTATGAACACATTAATTTCTTAGAGAAAGACTAAAATGGAGAGGAAAACGCTTTTAGAGCATCTTAAAATAATTACTCCAAACGTGTATCGCGCGCCCCCGTCGTGATGACGGTTCAGTAATCATATCATGCGTTAATTTACATTTGTTGCGGCAGCTAGATCTATATATTGCAGATTGGCTTAAATGTCATTTTCTGAAATCTTCGATTGGCACGTGTTCTCAATTTTTAAAGATACAATAGTTAATACAGTAAAAGGGAAGTTAAAGCCAGTCCTTTTCATTATTACAAAGTTAAATACCCATGCAAGGGCATCACCCTACTATAAATCTTCAGTTTGACAAATGAATAGATAACGAAAGTTCTTACCTTGTAAATAGTAGGGTACACACCAAAAATAGATTGTGTATAGCAATACACAATTTCACAAAATGATTACACAATACGCACACTTGGCTTTTTGTAAAACGGTTAAAATTGTCTTTTTTTAATTCAAGTAAAAATTTAAAGTTCCAGAAAATGTCTATTATCCGTTGTACCAGAGAGGTTCTTAATTATTCTTAATACTCCTCGTGATTTTTTGTCACGTGATATGATTAATAAGGAAAAGAAAAACAGGGTTAAACTGCCAAGTGACTAACAGGTATTATGCAGCTGTTATTTTTTCTCCCTCCGGTAAAGGCCTCAACTTTGAAGTACAACCACCAATTAAAACTAAGACGTGTGAAGGCTACTATTTCTTGATTTCGGAAACCTTAAGTCTAGATCATGTTCTATTTTGAAAATCTTGTCGTACAGATTTTTACAGACCTCCCACAATGACAAGTGAAAGATAACCAAATTATCTCCTGATAATGGGTGTAATGAATGAAATTCCAGAACAATTAGGGCTAAAAGGTAAACATAGTAGTAAGATGCACAGGCACGAGTATCGGACCTGGGAAGAAAAAATATTACCAGACTGTTAAAAAAAACCTGTGTTCATCTTAAAAGTGTCAAAAAACCAAAAAAAAAATGTAAATAATGACCCCCTTTAAAAATATACTACAAGCTTAACTTATAGTATATTTTTAAAGGGGGTCATTATTTACATTTTTTTTTGTTTTTGTTTTTTGACACTTTTAAGATGAACACAAGTTATTTTATCAATCTGGTCATATTTTTTCTTCCCAGGTCCGATACTCGTGCCTGTGGTAAGATGGGGTAAAAATGAGGTTCGTGAAGTTAGCCGGACAGCCGGAACAGCCGGAGCAGCCGGAACTCATTTCCGTCTACTCCGGCTACTCCGGCTAGCCGGAATCCGGTTCCGGCTATACAGGCTGGCCGGAAATTATACGGTAAACCCTGTGCAAAAGACCATTGGCTAATTCCATAATGTAATGTCAAATTACTTATCACAACGTTCTCCGGCTATTACGGCTAGCCAGAAAAAAAAACAGAAATCAAGGCTACATAAGATGAAAAAAAAAAATCTGCCAGCAGATTGAACAATATAATTATTAAGTGTCGTGCATTGTCACAGGCACGAGTATCGGACCTGGGAAGAAAAAATATTACCAGACTGTTAAAAAAAACCTGTGTTCATCTTAAAAGTGTCAAAAAACCAAAAAAAAATGTAAATAATGACCTCCTTATAGTATATTTTTAAAGGGGATCATTATTTACATTTTTTTGGGGGGTTTTTTTGACACTTTTAAGATGAACACAAGTTATTTTATCAATCTGGTCATATTTTTTCTTCCTAGGTCCGATACTCGTGCCTGTGTGCATTGTGTGTCCGGGTGTCCGTGAGTATAGGTTGGTCCGTCGGGAATACTCAAGTATTTTGCCGACGGTGAGCCGAAAATCGTTCTAGACAGCTCGTATCTGGCCAATTCCGGCTGGCCCCTGTGGGGACCAGACTCAATTACGCAGAACCGCACATGTTGGGATGGTTAGGGGGTCTGACCGGGTGTCCGCTGGTATAGGTGTGTCCGTCGGGAATACTCTGGTATTTTGCCGACGGTGAGCCGAAAATCGTTCTAGACAGCTCGTATTTGGCCAATTCCGGCTGGCCCTGTGGGGACCAGACTCAATTACGCAGAACCGCACATGTTGGATGGTTAGGGGGTCTGACCGGGTGTCCGCTGGGTATAGGTGTGTCCGTCGGGAATACTCTGGTATTTTGCCGACGGTGAGCCGAAAATCGTTCTAGACAGCTCGTATCTGGCCAATTCCGGCTGGCCCCTGTGGGGACCAGACTCAATTACGCAGAACCGCACATGGTGGGATGGTTAGGGGGTCTGACCGGGTGTCCGCGGGTATAGGTGTGTCCGTCGGGAATACTCTGGTATTTTGCCGACGGTGAGCCGAAAATCGTTCTAGACAGCTCGTATCTGGCCAATCCGGCTGGCCCCTGTGGGGACCAGACTCAATTACGCAGAACCGCACATGGCGGTATGGTTAGGGGGTCTGATCGGGTGTCCGCGGGTATAGGTGTGTCCGTCAGGAATACTCTGGTATTTTGCCGACGGTGAGCCGAAAATCTTTCTAGACAGCTCGTATCTGGCCAATTCCGGCTGGCCCCTGTGGGGACCAGACTCAATTACGCAGAACCGCACATGGTGGGATGGTGAGGGGGTCTGACCGGGTGTCCGCGGGTATAGGTGTGTCCGTCAGGAATACTCTGGTATTTTGCCGACGGTGAGCCGAAAATCGTTCTATACAGCTCATATTTGGCCAATTCCGGCTGGCCCCTGTGGGGACCAGACTCAATTTCGCAGAACCGAACATGGTGGGCTGGTGACGGGGTCTGACCAGGTGTCCACGGGTATAGGTGTGTCCGTCGGGAATACTCTGGTATTTTGCCGACGGTGAGCCGAAAATCGTTCTAGACAGCTCGTATCTGGCCAATTCCGGCTGGCCCCTGCGGGAACCAGACTCAATTACGCAGAACCGCACATGGTGGGATGGTGAGGGGGTCTGACCGGGTGTCCGCGGGTATAGGTTTGTCCGTCGGGAATACTCTGGTATTTTGCCGACGGTGAGCCGAAAATCGTTCTAGACAGCTCGTATCTGGCCAATTCCGGCTGGCCCCTGTGGGGACCAGACTCAATTACGCAGAACCGCACATGGTGGGATGGTGAGGGGGTCTGACCGGGTGTCCGCTGGTATAGGTGTGTCCGTCGGGAATACTCTGGTATTTTGCCGACGGTGAGCCGAAAATCGTTCTAGACAGCTCGTATCTGGCCAATTCCGGCTGGCCCCTGTGGGGACCAGACTCAATTACGCAGAACCGCACATGTTGGGATGGTTAGGGGGTCTGACCGGGTGTCCGCTGGTATAGGTGTGTCCGTCGGGAATACTCTGGTATTTTGCCGACGGTGAGCCGAAAATCGTTCTAGACAGCTCGTATCTGGCCAATTCCGGCTGGCCCCTGTGGGGACCAGACTCAATTACGCAGAACCGCACATGTTGGGATGGTTAGGGGGTCTGACCGGGTGTCCGCGGGTATAGGTGTGTCCGTCGGGAATACTCTGGTATTTTGCCGACGGTGAGCCGAAAATCGTTCTAGACAGCTCGTATCTGGCCAAATCCGGCTGGCCCCTGTGGGGACCAGACTCAATTACGCAGAACCGCACATGGCGGGATGGTTAGGGGGTCTGACCGGGTGTCCGCGGGTATAGGTGTGTCCGTCAGGAATACTCTGGTATTTTGCCGACGGTGAGCCGAAAATCTTTCTAGACAGCTCGTATCTGGCCAATTCCGGCTGGCCCCTGTGGGGACCAGACTCAATTACGCAGAACCGCACATGGTGGGATGGTGAGGGGGTCTGACCGGGTGTCCGCGGGTATAGGTGTGTCCGTCAGGAATACTCTGGTATTTTGCCGACGGTGAGCCGAAAATCGTTCTATACAGCTCATATTTGGCCAATTCCGGCTGGCCCCTGTGGGGACCAAACTCAATTTCGCAGAACCGAACATGGTGGGATGGTGATGGGGTCTGACCGGGTGTCCGCGGGTATAGGTGTGTCACTCGGGAAAAATCTGGTATTTTGCCGACGTTGAACCGAAAATCGTTCTATACAGCTCATATTTGGCCAATTCCGGCTGGCCCCTGTGGGGACCAGACTCAATTACGCAAAAGAGCTCATGGTGGGCTGGTGACGGGGTCTGACCAGGTGTCCACGGGTATAGGTGTGTCCGTCGGGAATACTCTGGTATTTTGCCGACGGTGAGCCGAAAATCGTTCTAGACAGCTCGTATCTGGCCAATTCCGGCTGGCCCCTGTGGGACCAGACTCAATTACGCAGAACCGCACATGGTGGGATGTTAGGGGTCTGACCGGGTGGTCCGCGGGTATAGGTGTGTCCGTCGGGAATACTCTGGTATTTTGCCGACGGTGAGCCGAAAATCGTTCTAGACAGCTCGTATCTGGCCAATTCCGGCTGGCCCCTGTGGGGACCAGACTCAATTACGCAGAACCGCACATGTGGGATGGTTAGGGGTCTGACCGGGTGTCCGCGGGTATAGGTGTGTCCGTCGGGAATACTCTGGTATTTTGCCGACGGTGAGCCGAAAATCGTTCTAGACAGCTCGTATCTGGCCAATTCCGGCTGGCCCCTGTGGGGACCAGACTCAATTACGCAGAACCGCACATGGCGGGATGGTTAGGGGGTCTGACCGGGTGTCCGCGGGTATAGGTGTGTCCGTCGGGAATACTCTGGTATTTTGCCGACGGTGAGCCGAAAATCGTTCTAGACAGCTCGTATCTGGCCAATTCCGGCTGGCCCCTGTGGGGACCAGACTCAATTACGCAGAACCGCACATGGCGGGATGGTTAGGGGGTCTGACCGGGTGTCCGCGGGTATAGGTGTGTCCGTCGGGAATACTCTGGTATTTTGCCGACGGTGAGCCGAAAATCGTTCTAGACAGCTCGTATCTGGCAAATTCCGGCTGGCCCCTGTGGGGACCAGACTCAATTACGCAGAACCGCACATGGCGGGATGGTTAGGGGTCTGACCGGGTGTCCGCGGGTATAGGTGTGTCCATCGGGAATACTCTGGTATTTTGCCGACGTTGAGCCGAAAATCGTTCTAGACAGCTCGTATCTGGCCAATTCAGGCTGGCCTTGTGGGGACCAGACTCAATTACGCAGAACCGCACATGGCGGGATGGTTAGGGGGTCTGACCGGGTGTCCGCGGGTATAGGTGTGTCCGTCGGGAATACTCTGGTATTTTGCCGACGGTGAGCCGAAAATCGTTCTAGACAGCTCGTATCTGGCCAATTCCGGCTGGCCCCTGTGGGGACCAGACTCAATTACGCAGAACCGCACTTGGCGGGATGGTTAGGGGGTCTGACCGGGTGTCCGTGGGTATAGGTGTGTCCGTCGGGAATACTCGGCTATTTTGCCGACGGTGAGCCGAAAATCGTTCTAGACAGCTCGTATCTGGCCAATTCCGGCTGGCCCCTGTGGGGACCAGACTCAATTACGCAGAACCGCACATGGCAGGATGGTTAGGGGGTCTGGCCGGGTGTCCGTTTGTATAGGTGTGTCCGTCGGGAATACTCTGGTATTTTGCCGACGGTGAGCCGAAAATCGTTCTAGACAGCTCGTATCTGGCCAATTCTGGCTGGCCCCTGTGGGGACCAGACTCAATTACGCAGAACCGCACATGGCGGGGATGGTTAGGG